TCCTCCAGATTGTTTGTCCAGCCTATCTTATCTAGATAGAGCTATAGAGATAATAATATGCACAAAAACAAGACAGAGCAAAGCAAAGCAACAAAACAAAACATCAACAGCAAAATCAATGAAAAAAAAATGAAAAGCCTGTAAATAGTTCAAGGTCTGTTGTTGACCTTTAGAAGTGATTTCCAGTTGAGTCTGATGGGGTGCCACGCCCTGGCCCCAATGTTCATTTTTGCTACGCCCTCGGAACTTCCTTGCTCTGCTCCCCTTGCTGTTCTATTGCACTCCCTTGGTGTATTGCCTTGGTGTGGTGGGGTCAGATCAGGTGCAATCTCCACACTGTCTCCAGTGTTGTCCCCTGTAGGGCTATGGGTCAGTGAGGATGTCATGTCTCATAGTGGAGCCGGCCACATGGTTGTCTGGATGCACTGGCTGCTCTGAGTGGGGATATCATCCTCAAGGCTTGGTGGGCCAAGATGTGCTCCACTCTCTCTTCTTCCCCTTTCATTTGCTCTGATCACACTTGTCCTCCTTGAGCTGTAGCTTCAGTTCTGTCCTCTGAAGTAAATTCTTCTGGGGGAAGAGGTGGCTGTTCACGTAGTTGGGATTGGGGCTGGCCTCTCAGATGCATGTTGCATTCACACCTTGGAGCACCAGGTTGAAGTCTGGTCCCTCTTTCCCTGTGGAGATATAAACAATATCCTCTCCTTGGGTACATTAGTGTCCTGTTCCCCTGCTACCCATTTCTTTCTTTCTGTTTTATTTTACTCCCCCCCACCCCCTACCTTTTTAGTTGGCTACCATATGTATCCCTGGATTTGGTCTGGCCCCTGCCATACTACCTAGACCTCAACCAAGGAATGTTTGTATACAGTAGCTTTTTCCCTATGCCCCTTTTGCATTTTTTTTAAGCTTACCTCAACAATGTTGAACTTGTCCTTTTGTGCTTGGCTTACTTCACTTAGCATAATTTCCTCCAGTTCTTCCAATGCATCAATGTGCTTCATGCGTTCATCACTGCTTTTTAGCGATGCGTGGTACTCCATTGTATGTATATACCACAGTTGATGGAAATTTGGGTTGTTTCCAACTCCTTGCAATTGTGAACTGTGCTGCGATGAACATTGGAGCACAGATATCTGGCTGTGGTTTGTTTCTTGCCTCTTCTGGGTATATTCCCAGTAAGGGGATTCCTGGGTCATATGGTAGCTCTATTTCCATCTGTTTTAGTTATCGCCAAATCGATTTCCATAGTGGCTGTACATACCAACAGGTCTGCCAGCAGTGGATGAGAGTTCCTGTCTCACCACAGTCCCTCCAACACTTGTTGCTTTCTGATTTTTTGAATTGGACCATCTTTGAGGGTGTTAGGTGGTATCTCATTGTTGTTTTCATTTAAATTTCTCTTGTGGCTAAAGATCAGGAACATTTTCTCATATGTTTATTGACCATTTGGATTTCTGCCCTTGGGGAAATTCTGTTCAGGTTTTTTCCCACCTCCTCAGTGGACAATTAGTTTCTTTTCTTTTTGGAAGCTAGCAGAGTATTGTAGATTTTAGTAATAAGATCTTTGTCTGATTTGTCACTTTTAAAGATGTTTTCCCTGTCTGCGGGGAAACATTACTCTCATTGCAAATTGTTTCGATGTACACAAATGTTTTATCTTCAGTATATCCTACTTGTCAATTTGTGCCTCCTCTGTGTTTGTGTTCTTCCTCATTTCCAATAGCTTATGTATTCCCTGTGCCAAAGTTCTCAGGGTTGTCCCAATTCCCTCATTGATGGCCAGGATAGTTTTGGGTTTACCACAAGTTCTATGATCTCCCTTGAGTTTATTTTTGTTCATGGAGTGAAATAAGGGTCTTACTTCATTTTTCTGTAGGTGGATATCCATGTTTTTTTGAGCACCACTTGTTGAAGAGGGCATGTGCTTCCCATTTGATATTTTTGGGGCCCTTATCAAAGATCAGTTGTCTGTATGCTGACGGTTTTATTTCTGGGTTTCAGCCCTTTTCCATTGGTCTGAATATCTGTTGTTATATCACCACCACACTGTTTTGACTACTGTGGCCATATAATATGTGCTAAAGTCAGGTAAAGCAAGCCCTTGAACTTTGTCCTTCTTCTTAAGGAGTTTTCTGCTAATTTGGGGCTTCTTTCCTTTCCATATGAAGTTGGTAATCGGTTTTTCCAATTCTTTGGAAACAGATGATGGCATTTTTATTGGGATAGCATTAATCTTACATAGTGCTGTGAGTAGCACTGGCATCTTCACTATATGGTGTCTTCTGATCCACGAGCATGGGATATTCGTCCATTTGTTGAGGTCACTCTTGATTTCTTTTAATAGTGTTCTGTAATTTTCCTCATACAAATCTTTTGTTTTTTAGTCAGGTATATCCCTAAATATTTCAATTTGTGCTTAACTATTATGAAGGGTACTGCCCTTTTGATCCCCTCTTCCATGGTCTTGTCCAATGTGTATAGCAGTTTGATAGACTTATGTTTGTTGATCTTGTATCCTACTACTCTGCCATATTCCTCTATTACTTCCAGCACTCCCCTTGTGGAGCTTTTGGGATTTTCCATATATAAAATCATATCATCTGCAAATAATGATAAGTTCACCTCTTCCTTCCCCAGATGAATAATTTTGATGTCTTTTCTTTGCCTCATCTTGTTAGCTAGGACCTGAAGTACGATGTTACATAAGAGTGGGGACAAGTGGCATTATTGTCTGGTCCCTTTTATCAGTGGGATTGTTTTTGTCTTTTCTCCATTGAGTATTACGTTGGCTGTTGGTTTTTCATATATAACTTGTATTATATTAAGGAATGTTCCTTCCATTCCTATCTCTTGAGTGCCTTCAGCAGGAATTGGTGTTGGATGTTGTCGACTGCTTTTTCTGCATCTATTGATATTATCATGTGGTTCTTTAAATTTTTCATGTCAATGTATCAATGTAACAAATAATATTAATAGTCTTTCATATGTTAAACCATCCCTGCATCCCTGGTATGAATCCCACTTGGTCATGGTGAATTATTTGTTTCATATATACAGTACTTTTGTATTCTATTGGCCAGTATTTTGTTAAGGATTTTTGCATCAATGTTCATTAGGGATACTGGTTTGTAGTTCTTGATTCTTGTGGGATCCTTGACTGCTATGTGCCTTGGCAACTTCTTCCTGGGACTCAGTCTAGCTGGTGTCCTCTCTGATTCCTGAATGGTTACGTGATTCTCATTCATTAAGCTGGGGAACTTTTCTTCCAGGAATTGTCTCATGATTTTTGCAGTTGACTTCTTGGTTGTGTCTTGTTCTGGTAATCCATTTATTCAAATGTTGTTCCTCTTCATAGTATCAGATATTGTTTCTTTCAGCTTCTTTGATTAACTTGTTTGACTGTCTTCCCCATTTATTGAA